GGCCATCGGCTTGCGTGAGATACAGCTCACTTCCTCGGGTGCTAAGGAACAGCCGGGGTACAGAGAGAGGCGTGCAACGTCGGCGTTAAGTAAATCAGAGCGGAGGAGGCTCGCCTCCATGGGTGATGCGGTGAGGGTATCTCAAAGAGAAATCACCTATTGCGATAGCAGGGCCATTCCCCCTTTCTATTTCAATCTCTTTCCATGGATTTGCCTGTGGATTCCAGCTCCGCAGTGATGCAGTCTGCTTTCGGAGGATTTTTTTTTTTTTGCCTCAAGAAAGGCAATTTGCAAGTCAGGACCGGTGTGTCCAGGGAGGTTGCAGTGCTACCCCAGGTATCTCAAAGAGAAATCACCTATTGCGATAGCAGGGCCATTCCCCCTTTCTATTTCAATCTCTTTCCATGGATTTGCCTGTGGATTCCAGCTCCGCAGTGATGCAGTCTGCTTTCGGAGGATTTTTTTTTTTTTGCCTCAAGAAAGGCAATTTGCAAGTCAGGACCGGTGTGTCCAGGGAGGTTGCAGTGCTACCCCACTGACGTTTGTATGTTGTTATGCTTGGTGCATGATTTGTGCCCGTTTATTCTTCTGTGCAGAGACAGTCCGGTGTGTCAGTCAACCTGTGGAACTCCTTGCCAGAGGATGTGGTGGAGACCAGGACTTTAACTGGGTTCAGAAAAGAGCTAGATAAATTCATGGAGGTTTGGTCCATCAGTGGCTGTTAGCCAGGATTTTTAGGGAGGGTGTCCCTAGCCTCTGTTTATCAGAGGCTGGGAATGGGCAACAGGGGAGGGATCACTGGATGGTTCCCTGTTCTGTTCCCTCCCTCTGGGGCACCTGGTATTGACCACTGTGGGCAGACAGGACACTGGCCTAGATGGACCTTTGGTCTGACCCAGCCTGGCTGTTCTTATGTTATTAATACACAACTGAACAGATGAATAGATCACCAGGGAGCTTTCGGCTTTTTTTTCTCCTGTTCTCTCTGGTGCTGGTTTCTAAATCAGCTATGGATTTTCCCGGGGTATTTACTGAACTGGTGGGAGATATGTCAGGTTCAGCATCCGGACCCTTTTCATCTCATGACACCCCCTACTCAGCTTTCAGGAAATCGTGTCTGTCGTTGTTCCGTTTTTAGGCCTAGGGCAATGGTTCTCAACCGGTGGTACAAGTACCCATAGGGGTACTCGAAAAAAGTCTGTTGAATACATCCACACAACTGAAACTCGGAGAAAACAAAATTTTTGTTTTAAGTTTGACAGCATTTTCTTATTTTTTTACTTTTTACACCCAAAAATTTCATCGCCCGCCTGGGTACAATTAATTGTTTAAACACATGTGTTGCAATAGTAGAAAAAAAGTGTCTGAAAACTGAAGGTACTGGGGGTACTTACCATTTTTTTTTTTGAAAAAGGGGGTACTTATAATTTTTTTGAAAGGGGTACTTTATTAAAAAAAGGTTGAGAATCACTGGCCTACAGCTCCAGCAAGCGTATGGATTGAGTTTTCTCGCTCTTCTTAGTTGTTAAGTTCTTCTCCCAGAGCAGGCCTTTTGCAATTGTCAAAGGTGGATTAGTACGACGATGAGTCCGATCAGTAAGGCAAAGCACACACACAACCTGCTGCAACTCAGCGCGGGGTTGGTTCTGCTTCGTTATCACAGCCCACGCCCCGTAGAGGCGGACGTGGACTTCTCCATCCAGAGCACGGGACCGTGGGAACTCGGCGCGGAAGCATTCAGAGAGGGAGCCGGGTTAGTCTGTTTCCGCAGAAACCACAAGGAGCCCTTTGAGGGGCAGACTGGCACTGGAAATAATTTGTTTTCTGCAAAAAAGCCCCGATTGCGAAAATGGCGATTGGGGCTTTTTTGCGGAAAAGCATCCGTGCCAATCTAGATGTGCTTTTCCGAAAATGCTTTTAACGGAAAACTTTTCCGTTAAAAGCATTTCCGCAAAATCATGCCAGTCTAGACGTAGCCATTATGTTCCCATAGCGAGGGTGCTGAGCTCAGCTTTTTGGTCAAAATAAGAGTGCAAAATGTCCCGCTATAAAGGGCTGTAGAACTCTATTACATACACACACGCCGTCACAATTTTTCACACTTGCTATCTGGCCCCTCTATTTAGGACTTCGATTGCCCTCGGCCTGCATAACGGCCCAGACTTTATCCATTGAGGCTCAAAGCGACTCCATGACAATGCCTTCTTGGGCCTTGTCGCTGTCGTCTTCGACAGGACAGCACAGAGGCAGGCATTTCTTCTCTGCGAAAAATCCCACAGCAATCACGAAAAAGAAGACGAGTCCAGATACCTGCAGAGGGGGAAAAATGGCACCAAAGAAAACAAAGGGTTGTTTGGATTGGACTTTTTCTTCACACACGTTTCGTGTCCCACCACCGTAGAGATGCACAGAGTGACGTGCATTTCATAGAACCAGAGGATCCTAGGTCCGGAAGAGACCTCCGGAGTCTTCGAGTCCAGCCCCCTGTCCAAGGCAGGACCAACCCCAACTCAATCAACCCAGCCAGGGCTTTGTCAATCTGGGACTTCAAAACCTCTAGGGATGGAGACTCCGCTGCCTCCCTAGGGAACCCTCCCAGTGCTTCCTAGGGAAATAGTTAATGGTCCCTGTGCACAGGCTGCGGGATTCAAACCTTGAATCTCCGTGTGTAAAATGGTACAGATTTCAACTGGCATCATTGGGGGCAGCTAGAAAGCTGCATCACTCGCCTGCCCCACAGCGCATCAAATTTCAGAGCAATCCAGGTAAACTTAGATTTTAGAGCCCTTAGAACCCCTCTGGAAACACCACATCCAGAATAACCACCGGCGTGGGGCATCTGAAAATCTGGGGCACCGCAGGGTCCTAGTGCCCCCCCTCCACTCACCCACCTCTTCCTATCCCTGTTCTGTGGCTCTGCTTCCTCCGTGGGGGATCTAGTTCACTGACAAGTGACGGGCTGGCCAGAGCTAGGAGCAGCCAGGAAGCCATTCCACAAGCATGTGCCACGCCCAAGTCCAGACAGCCAGTGTCTGATTGATTGTGGGGAGCCGACAGGACCTGAGGTTAAAATCTGCTGTAAAACTCTTCCCTGCGTGTGTTGCTGAAGGTTCTAAAACCGCAGCTCTGAAAAGGCCCCCGTGGAGAGGCGGTAGCTTGGAACAAGGGCTCGGAGGAGGGTGCTGGTGGCAGCGGTATGTTCTCAGGGCTGGCTCTCAGCTGGCCTGTTCTTGGCTCCCCTGTGAGGAGCGTGCTCATGGGGAGAGGGAGGTGCTATGAGCTCTCCTGCCACCCAGCCAGGGAGCCCCTCTCCCCAAAACCCTGCCCCTCCTGCCGCAGAGGAGAAAGTGAGACCAGCAGGCAACATTCCTCCCCCACTTTGCTTGCCGGAGGGGCCCACTTGCTGAATTCCGTGGGGTTGCTCGACATGGGGGAGGTGGGAAGGGAGAAGGGGCAATTTCCCAGGGTCCCTATGCTTCAAAGGGACTTGGAGCCCCCAGCCGCTGCCACAGTAGGAGACAGGCCCAGGTAGGGCTTAAAGTTGGGAGTTTTGTACGAAGTGGGGATTGTATTCACCTTGCTATGCTGCATGTGAGTTTGACTGTCCTGTTGTCACCCCCTCTGCATACCTCAGTTTCCCTGGGCACTGCACTCACCTCTAGATGCGAAGGGGAATTTTGACAGTGACAGCCTGGGACGTAGTGGGGGTGCTGTCTAGTCCTGTAACCCTGGGTTTCTCCCTGGCTGTGTTGTGTTATGTGTGAGCCCTGATGACTCACCCCAGATGTGCACTAGGTCTAGACGCCTGGGGAGCCAGACAGAGAAGATAAGGTCTCTGTTCCTGGAGAGTAGTGGGGGTGCTGTTTACTCTTGTAACCCTGGGTTTATCTCTGTATTGTGTTATCTGTGAGCCCTGATGACTCACCCCAGATGTGTATCAGACATAAGATAAGGTCTCTGTTTCCGGAGAGAGAGACAGGATATAGGCGGGGACTGTCACCAGGCAGGGAACTAGGCCTGGGAGTCTGGGCTGGGCTAGGATGAGAGATGTGACTGAGGGAGGAAAGGGGGGTAAAGGGCACAGTGCCCCTCCCCCCGAGAGGAAGAAGGCGTCTGCGCTGGGTCCCTGTGCTCACCCCCATCCTGTGCTATGCCGTGTCCCTGAGAACCAACAAACCTTCTACTCTACTAGGTGGATGGGAGTCACGTCTGGCTGCAGAGGGGGTGCAGGGTCGGGAACCCATCGCACAGCCTCCCGCAGGCACACCATGGCCGAGTGCAGGAGGGGATGCAACCAGGTGACATCTTTGGCCTGGGAAGCAGGAGACAGGGGAGAGGTGCAGCCTGGCTGTGGGCAGTGGGGCTGTCTCGGAGGGCTGGGGAACCAGGGAGAGGGCAGAGCCCTGGCTCGGGGTCCCTCTGTTCCCAAGCTGGGCTGTCCTGGCAGCACTTGTCCCTGTCGTCTGAAATCTTGCTGTTCTCTCTGCCGGCTAAGAGCCAGGTCTGGTGGTAGATGGGGGTCCAGGGCCCAGTGACCCCCCCCATACGCTGGCAGCAGCTGTCCCTGTCATCTGATTTCTTGCTGTTCTCTCTGCCGGCTAAGAGCCACGTCTGGTCCAGGGCCCAGTGACCCCCCCCCATATCTGGGCGACCCCATCACCTGGTTCCTTTTTATACACTTAGGGCTGTTTCCAAACGCTTGAGACCCCGTCAGTGTTCAGCACTGGACACCGAAAAAACCCCAAAACACCGAAGCAAAGTCGACAAAGAATCTAAGAGAAGCGAGAGCAAAATGCTCAGTGAAGAATTTGCTAAGACAGCCGCGCCCTACCTGCGATATTACATAACACTTGATGGGCTGCTCCTCATCACAGGTCAGGGTGGTTATGTTTAGAAAATTTTTACACGTGCAAGTAAAGTATCGTCCATCCAGGAGAAGAAGGGTCATCCATATCAGCGAGGGCCCAAGAGCTTTCATCAAAGCCCGACAAGAAGCTCTTAGGTTACGTTTTTGGCCCACAATAGGCAGGAAAACCACGGTCAGCAGAAACAAAACAACAGCTGGAATAAGAAAATAGGAGAGACTGTAATAGACCCTCCAGCTCGCCTCTTCGGGGCATCTAAATTCCGTCTCCATAATTTTTTCAAACGCTACCAAAATCAGTGCGCAAACCGATGTCGAGACAATGCCAAATTGATCTTTCCATGTTTCAAAAAATTTCTTCCTCGGATCCATTCTGCGCCCCCAAACCAGACCTTGGCCAACTCACAGCCAGGGAGAAACGATGGCGAAACGTTTGAGCTCTGGGACACCTCGACTTCGACAAGTAATTTTGTTGAGTGAAAATGAAAGTGAAAATATTGCCTGGTTAAAAAACCTCCCCGTTCTTGGGGTTCCCATGAAGTGGTGGTGTTTAGCTAAGAAGACTGTTTGCAAACGGCAGGGCATTGGTTTCAGGAGGGTCTCGAGAAGTCGGGTTAGAAACGATTTCTAGTTTTCCACATCGCTTATCCTCAGCATCTCCTTGGACGAGACTTTGTCAGCGACAATCATCCCTCTATAGTGGCAGCTGTTAGAGAAGAACCAGGCGACCCAGGAGCGGATGGGGTAAAAGGAATTGCTTCATTGCCCACGCACGTTTCCCTCGGACATTCAACACAGCGTCTGAGTGGGAACAAGTCGGCAGGAGTTAGAATCTTTGCTCCATGTCAGTAAGTTAATTCACACGGCGATCACTGCTTTTCCTGAACCTTATCTAGTAATGTTAACTCCCATAAAATGAATATTAATAAGCAAATAATGAATATAATTATACCAGCCCCGAATTACTATTCACAGACTTTCTAATGAAATCATCACATGGCTATGCTACAAATTAACAGGTTGCAGAGATTACAAGGGATTTGACCCTGAAGATATTTTATATAGTGCCCATGACTAGGATAAGCAAAAGACACAACAAAGTAAGGTTGCATGCCTTTCCCCACTAATGTAGAGCCATTTCAGAACTATTACATGTTACATATCCCAACACGCCCCCACTCTCTTTCGAAGAAGGGCCGAAGCACCCCTCCTTCCCGCACACTGGCTGACGGGGTACCGGGGCTACAGGCCCTGGCTCTAACTGCCCAGTACCTTGTTCCACTGGTCATGCTATGGGGAGATGGGAAAGGCAAGTCATCCACGAGGTCGATTTCTGGGGAGCAGCCAGGGCAGGACACAGCCTTATACCTGCCCTCAGTAACATGAACAGAGCAATCAGCAGGATCAAAATTCCAAGAGTATAAACAATCTGAGGGAGGCGTGAATGAGTGTTCGTTAGGCCTGTCCGAAGGGCACAGGCTACGTCAGTCCAAGCGCAATCTGCAGGCAGTTCAGTGGCCAGCTGCAAGGCATTAGTCCCTTGCATGGCCCAGGTTCCCAGGGCTGTACTGGACATGGTTCAGCCCGGAGCTGCTTTAACAGGTGTGTCCCGGTGTCCCACTTTATCCAGCTAGGCTCAGGTTTTGCTTTAGTCCTATTAGTTGGCATCCTCAGGGGTGCGGTCAGGGGAAGTTGTTGCACAGCGGGGATGTAAATCTTATAAGGAGTTTCCAAATTGCAGGGAGAAAGGACCCAAACCGAACCCACCTTTCCCAGGCATCTTCCACCCTCCAGAGCCTCACCACTGAGCCTTGCCGATCCCGCCCAACGAATTCTATTTCCCTGTTCCACCCAGTGCTGAGTGGATACCGTCTCTGTGCACTGTAGGACGGGGGTGCTTGTGACCATCCCACCCAGGTATTCCCCGGTTCTGCCCATATTAACCCTGTGTCGGGGTGCAGTCACAGGCGACCCCTCGGTGCTGACACAGTGACTGCCACTCGCCTTCCCACTTTCTGGGGCTCCTCACTGCCCGGTCCTGCTGGGCCAGCTCTGCTGGTCTCCCCCAGCCATGGCCTTGAGCTCCCTATGCCGCCCGAGAAGC